ATTTAATTAAAAAATCCGTTTTTTGATTTATTGTTACAATTTTTGATATTTTATTTACGTAAAAATAAAATATTTGGACATATGATTTAATATAACAAATTAATAATAACCTTCATTTAAAAATTTGATTGATTCTTAAACTTGTCTAATGTTGCGAACTCTTAAACGTCGGGCGATTAATGCCCTTTAAGAGTAAATTGTTATAACCTCACGACCTCCTCCACGAACCATTAATACTTTTTCAAGTCCTTCTGTTAAAACTTCCAGGAATTCCATATCTAAAAAGAAGTTTATCACACAAAATTAATAAATAAATACTGATAGATAGGCTAAGATCTGTTACTTACAATTGCTTTCACGTTCCGCTTTGACTTCCCTCGGAGGACCCGGTAAATTCATGATGACCAATTGGGCATCTTGAGACTTTTCTAATATAACCTCATTTAGTTTTATTGCCGTGTGCATGCGACGAACATTGAATTCGTCTCTGTAAGAGAACAAGTTTAGCAAATCGAAGAAAATTTTGATGAACTCTAGATCTTACGGCTTAATGCTGGATTTGACGTTATCACCAGCTTTTTCTGTTGACTCATCTTTGTTGGATGTGACATCAAGCGCCTCCGTGCTCCCTGGACCATCTGAGTCTATAGAATTGCGTTTCTCTTCGCTTAAAGTATCCTATAGAGGAGTATATGAAATATAATCATTAGATTATTGTGAATTAGGCCAAAATTCGATAAATTTATTTTAATAACAATTAAAAGAAAATTCTCCAAAATATATGTATATGTAATAAATAATAATATAAATAAAAATTCAATAATAGGGTATACATAATTAAAGAAAATTAAAATAAAAAATATATATGAAAATGTTTTAAATATTTACGTATATATTTATATATATTTTTTTATATGTATCAGTTTATCTGTTTACCATTCGACCATTTTTAAGCTTAAACTGTATTTTAAAACTAATTTATTTTAGCTCTAGTCTAATATTTCATATTCGAAAGCATACATACGTGATTTTGTGTTTCTCCACTGGAAGGTTCGGCAAACCGAACCCGCGACGCTGTTTTTATGGCGTCATAATGGTGGTCTACAATTGTTTGTACCTGGAATTGCATAAGGTTTTTACATACTTATCTAATTCAAATGGTTCTTAGCTCTTATATTGGCAAATCTCTAAGTTGTCTACCAACAGCAAATCCATGGTCCTCAAATGTTAATTTTACATATATTGGGTAGAATATATATGGATTTTTTTTATCAATTCTTATGAATACGAAATTTGTTATTTCAAGTAAAGTTTGTCTTGAGTAAAGTGGTCCAGGAATACGACTTGGTTCTGTTTATATTGTTAATCTTGAATCGGACTTGATGTATAGTATTAGTTTGTAACTTTATAACTCAAATTATCAGCAGTTACAGTGGTTCATATAAAACCATAATAAACCCGTAAGCTACGCTTGGTATCTGGTTCCACTTTAGAAAGCCTATTTTAAAGGCGAAGGATTGTGACATAAGAAGAGCATTTTGTAGTCGGTTATAGCCGACATTTTATATATGATATGTATAGTATCAGGAGATACAAAGCATGCACATTAAATATATTCAGATTTTTGTATATTATTGACATTTAGAAATGATATGTTTAAGCAAATATATATAGGCTAATAATATCGTTAGAGTTGATGCAAGTTTTTCC